ATCATTTTTTTTTTTTTTGGGGGGGGTTCTTGTTAGAAATATAGTATAAAGGCCGGAAGCCCTAAAACCTCAACCCTAATTGTTCCAATTTTTACGGCCCCTACATTAACATATTGTCAAGCCTGGAAACCGCAAGCCCTGTACCTGCTTCGGGGTTTAGAACCCTACAGCCCAAGAAACCTGAACAACAAAAAACCATCCCGAACCCAGCACGGCCTGAAGCCCAAAACCGAAAACAATAACCCAGCGCCATAACATCCCCATGCCAAACCCGCCAAAACTCCAAAGCCTAAAACCCAAAAAACCCAAAGCCCCAATCCCTAAAACTCCAAGGCCGTAAAATCCCAAATAAACGGCTAGAGCCCCGCAAGCCCTAACACGCCACACACCTATACATCCAGACAGCTCTAAAACACCGAAGCTCCCACACCCCAAAAATCTCAAATGCCCTAACATTCTTAAAGCACCAAAAGACCTTAACTCCCAAAACGCCCAATCCCTCAAAATCACCAAAGCCCATAAACGCCCTAAAGCCCAAAACGCCCTAAAACCAACACAAACACTAAAACCCACAAGCCTAAACTCTTGAGGCCCCAAGTCCCGTAACAACGTGGAGGGCTAGACTCTGCTGCTTGGTGGTTCACTTCATCTCCTCCACCGCGGCCTCAACGCGGGTGACGCGCTCAAGGGCAGCTTCCTTGTCACCTTGCAGGAACTGGAGAAAACTCCCGTCCCTGCTTCAGCAAGCCATCCGACAAAAATCTCTTGCATGGCGAACTGCCTCTGCATGTCAAGACCCATCGCCTGTCACATCATGAAGCTCCCGGACGAAGGCGATTCGTCTGCTTTGACAGAGTCATCGCCTCTGTGGTTGCCTCTGAAGCTTCGTCCCTCACCTCTGTGACCTGTAGGAAAATCGCTGCCAGCTGAGCTAGACTTCGTTGACTCTGCAGCTCGGCCACCAAGGACTCGATGGAGAGGTTTCCATGGCTAAGCTGCAGCAACTGGCCATTTATTCAGAGTAGGGCGTTGTTCAGGCCGCCCGAGTCCGACGAGCCGTCAGACACCGAGGCAGGCATCATGGAGACAAACCGTTGCTGCACCGCATCCACTTGCTTCTGTGTGGCAGCAACTTTGTCAACTGTCATCCTCATAGCTTTGTTATTCTGCTCTAGCAGCCATGGCCCTAAAAAACCCCAAAAGCCCAAAACACCCAAACCCCTCACAATCAACCAAAGCCCTCAACCCTAAACCCTATAAACCCGAAACCCTATAAACCCTAAACCCTATAAACCTACAACCAAAGCCCCAAACCCGAAGCCCAAAGGAGCGCTTAGACGAAGGCTGCAGCGCTCCGGAGGGCTACGGACTCTGAGGCCTGGGCGCAACAAAAGGGGCCTTCATCATTAGAATAGGGTTCCTTTGAGGGTTCCTTTTAAGGGTTCCTTTA